AACTTGTCCAGGGTTACAAGGTGAGGATTTGAACTGCAACCCAGGCAATGTGGCTCCAGGGATTTTGTCATTACATTATACAGACTCCTTCTGTGTGTCTCTCTGGGTTGGGGGGCATGGCGTGTCTCATGAATATCTGTTTTGGGTTAGATATCAAAGGGTACAAGTTAGAAACAATGCTTTAGGAGATTAATTGGGGCAGGATCTTTTGAAACACCCATGCGGGAAGAAGTGGCTATTTACCGTACTGAACCTACACAGACACCAGGCTTCTTTAGTTCAGGTCAATCTAAATACAACAGCAAAACCATCTACTCTTTTCTTTTCCCTCTCTTCCTCTCTTCCTTTCAACAAATATTTTTTGGTTATTGACAATGTTAAAACAAACTGTACTGGACATTACATAAAGCTGGTTAACTCAGACATGAGACTCCAATGAACAATATTTAGTGGAAGTAAATGATAAAATCTGCCCAAAATTTTGCTCATTAATTTATAAAATCATAATTGCATTATTGTAAACCTTTTTCATTTCTTTTTTCCACCCCTATTTTCTTCTCTATGTTCTGTCTTCTAGTATCTCTCTGCCTCTACTCATATTTTCATTACCTTCTTTGAGCGTTGTTTTTCATCACTTTGCTCTCATGCCTTTTGTTTTTTGCTTCTCTCAGTTGTCTAGATTATTATCTCCTAGGTAGCCACACCATATATTGAACCCACTCTGGAAATAAACTATTTTATTTTAAAATACTAAAATTCCCCTGAATTCATTTTCTCCTTTCCAACTGCTTTATCACTTTATTTCATCCATGAATAAAAGTTCAGACCTTCATTCACTCTGCTCCTTATAACAAGTTTTTTACTAAACTCCTGCTTATAATTCTCCCAAATCTCCTGACAATATATCTGTCTTCACATTTTTCTCTGACTTTTCTAGCAAATCGAATCTTGTCATTCCCCTACTCAAAATTCGTTTGTTCTCATGATCGACCAGATAAAATCCAAAGTCCCTTACAAGGTACAAACAATCCCTACCTACCCATCTAACTTCATTTTTACCTTATCTCCCAATTCCCCTTTGTGTGGTACTCTCTAGCAGCACAGGCATGCTTGTGGGTTACAGAACACATCACACTCAGCCATGCCTCTGTAATCTTCCATCTATCATTCTTCTATTCACTCTGCTGCTTTTCCTCCATCCATATGTAAAATTTCTAGTCATTCTTTAAGACTGTTCAAATGTTATCTGTGCTGTGAAGGATTCCCAGTCTCATTTAGACAGACCTGAGAGTCCTCCTCTGCTCTCTCACATAACATTGTACATCCCTCCAATGTTTGCAAGAATATTGACATTAGCATTTGGAGTCAGGACTTGGGGTTTTCTATGTCCAATACGTAACACAGACTCCAGTACATAGTAGTTTAATCATCTTTATTAAAGCTACCTATTATTTAGCCTACCTACCATAATGATAGAGTATAGCTCTTCTTTCTGCCTGCATATCAGTTTCTCAAACTATATTTTTTGGAACACCAGCACCTCTACAGGAGTTGTATACTATGAATAGAGTTAGGCTTTAGATAGTTATGTAAAATGTAAGTTTGTTTTTATTATAAGTTTAAGAGAAAAGTCCAAATTTTCTTTTCTCATTTTTTAAATTTCATTTGTTTATACTGATACATAATAGATGTACATATTTGGAGGGGGGTACATGTGACAATACATTCATATAATTTGTAAAGATAAAATCAGTATAATTGGGATATCCATCACTTTAAATATTTGTTTTTTCTTTCTGCGGGAAACATTTGAATTATTCTCTTCTAGTTATTTTGAAATACACGATAGATTATAGTAAACTATAGTCACCCTAGTAGCCTATCAAACACAAAGTCTTATTTCTTCTATCTAATTGTATATACCTTTTGTTTTTAATTTCATAATAATTCTCAAGTGCAAAGTTCACTTAAAAATCACCTAAACCATCTAAAATGAGAAATTTATGTTTGTTTTACCATCACCTGGATGAGGAGCAACAACAAAAATACAAAGCATATGTATATATTGCTGTAATGACAACATAATTACCTCCAAATTTACTTCTTTCCAACCCATCTCTGCTAACCTGGATTATTGCCAATGAAAGAATAAATTTTGCTCATTTGCCTTGTTTTTACTTACATTAATTGATGGAGTGATGTTGGCTCTGTGATTTTAAGCAGTTCATCTTAGCAAATCGTAACTGTTAGAAGGGAAGCTTTGGGGAAATATTAACTGAAAAACAAGTTGAGGTCCAATCAGGAATACAGAAACTATACTATGTAATCAAGGGAATATTATTAAAATGTTACACAGGGATGGAGGGATGGTTCTCCAGACCAAAAAGGGAAACACTGTGGTGACCCACAGATATAAGCTGTGGGAAGCTGTTACTACCCTTAGAGCTAGGAGGACAAGGGGAAAAGGTTGTGTTATTAGAACTCAGAAGTTTAGAGGAGTCATCCTTCTTAGCTGGGGCTTGGACCTCTGAGAAGTAGAAACAGCCTAGCTGGGGCTGGTACTTTTGAGGAGTCATGAGGACTCTGGGACTTAGAGTGTAAAAGAAGTAGGAGACTGGAATCAACAGCTAAAGACAGGATGACAGGTTATTATTGCTGAGGTGATGCTGATAGCAGGAAGCAAATGGAAAGGAACAAGTCCCTTTTCTCCTACTCCAGGGGTCCACATTTCCTCCAGTAACCTCTATTGATAGAACCTGTCAGGAAGCCAGTTGGTAAAGGAGATACATTGTTTGCAGAGTCCTAGCACCAGCCTTACAAAACCAGGGCAGAACTATGAATACGAAGTGGAGAGATAATAGTTTAATAAACAGCACTAACAACAATTATATCAAGAGCATTAAGCAATGGTCAGAGTAACCACCTTCCACCTTAAAAAAACTATACACGATCAATCCTATGTTCAAAACCTTCAAGAAGTATAAACCTCTACTGAATGAGACATGCACTTGAGTATGGTATGTCATCATAATCATTTAGTCATCCAATTTGGAATCTATATGGCAGACATTATTCTAGGTACTTGGGGTTTTGCTTTTGTTTTGTCTTGGTTTTGGTTTTTTGCGGGGACAGGGTCTTTCTCCAGCTGCCTAGGCTACAGTACAGGGATGCGATCTTGGCTTATTGCAGCCCCGACCTCCCGGGCTCAAGTGATTCTCCCACCTCAGCCTCCAGAGTAGCTGGGACTATAGGAACACGCCACCACACCCAGCTAATTTTTTTTGTATTTTTAGTAGAGACGAGGTTTTACTATTGATATGGTTTGGCTGTGTCCCCACCCAAATCTCATCTTGAATTGTAGCTCCCACAATTCCCACGTGTTGTAGAAGGGACCTAGCGGAAGGTAATTGAATCGTGGGGGCAGGTCTTTCCTGTGTTGTTCTCCTCATAATGAGTAAGTCTCACGAGATCTGATGGTTTTATAAAGGGGAGTCCCCCTGGACATGCTCTCTTGCTTGCCACCACGTAAGATGTGACTTTGCTCCTCCTTGCCTTCCGCCATGTTAAGGCCTCCCAAGCCATGTGGAACTGTGAGTCAATTAAACCTCTTTCCTTTATAAATTACCCAATCTCGAGTATGTCTTTATTAGCAGCATGAGGACAGACTAACACAGCCATGTTGCCCAGGCTAGTCTTGAACTCCTGGACTCAAGCAATCTGCCAGCCTCGGCCTCCCAAAGTGGTGGGATTTCAGGCAGGAGGCACCGTGCCTGGCCTACTTGAGTTTTAACAGCGAAAATATAGATACTTGCTTGCCCTTGTGGAATGTTCATTCCAGTGAAAGGGAACAGACAGTAAATTAGAGACATGTCAGATGGTAAGGGCAATGGAGAAAATAAAGCAAGTTAAGGGCAGAGGGATTAGGGTGGGGGCAGCTCTTTCATATGATGTGGTCCTGGAAAGCCTCAATGATAAATTTTATCAAAGACTCAAAGGAAATAAGAGGGAGAAAGTCACATGAGCATACAGGGAAGATCTCTTCAGTAAGAAAGACTAGAATTTAATAAGAGTAAGGTTGTTGAACGTTTTGCAAGTGGATGGACTTTTCCGTGGTTCTGCAGTTGGTTTTTTATTATTTGCATAATTCTCTTTACAAAAACTGTGATCCTAACTGGGTAACATAAGCTTATTATCAAATACAGTACAAAGTTCAAATATTCTACAAAATATTGTTCACCGCTTCTACTAAAGGAAAAGCTATGCTTCCTCACACAGCAGGTTATAAAAAATTTGCTGATGTTAAGAAGAATTAGCCGAAGTATATAATGTCTTACCTCTCCTATAAAAATACTTCCTTTGTTTCAGAGTCAGCTATGAAATTCTAATAATAGTCTCAAACCTTTCACTCGGATTATGTTAGTAAATGTAAAATGCCCAGCACTGTACATAATTACTTCTTTGTTAAGATGTCAACCTTTGTTTTTTAGTTAAGAGTTAATGAACCTTGATAACTGGCAAACAATCTTTGAGCCAAAAGTAGGATGGACACCATCAGTACTCTTAACCCAAAACAATGAAACCATTGTTGGCATTAGGATTATGTTGCTTTCTGTTCAGATAATTTTTTTTCTGAAAAAAATGTATGCATACTTTGTTATTCAATGGTGTCAGAAATATTAATAAGTTAAGTATAATTAAGTATTCCTTAAACAGTTTGTTACTCAAACAATAAATGTGAACTTATCTATAAAGTTAGAGGACTAAAAATGGCACAGAAAGCAGTAATACTCTCATGTTAAAGGTTTTTAAAAAATTCACAGTATTTCTGCCCTTGAAAAACATGAGTTGTATATGTAACGTAAAATCTTTTTCTGTGGCCAGTAAAAATTTCCAACAGGAAAGCCTGGGTGGGTATGTCTAAAATTCATTCATCTGAGAATGTAATTTAAGATTGGGCACTTTTATTATAGAAAATAGAAATTTGAGTTACCTTATATTACTTTTTAACTTAAAGAATAATCTTGAGAGGTCAATGGTGTCCACTGGAAGGTAAGAACTTGGTTCTGGCAGGAAAATCACCACATATGGCTGGTAGTATTTGCAGAGCACTTAACCTCTGTGCCTAGGTTCTTGTAGCTGTCAAGTAGAGATAATAGTAATTGCTACCTTCCGTGGGAAGTGAGCTTGTGCTTTGACATCTTTAGTTGAAGATGCTGTATAAACACAAATTATTATTATTAGAACACAATACATATATGCACATAAAACACCAGCATGGTGCTCTTTTAATGCTTATATAACATCTATAAATAATGCTCTTCCATGCTCTCTATTCACTTTAGGTCAGAGAAGATCATAGCAGACCACTATTCAATTTCCATAAGTATGGAGGAAATATATTTGTTAAAGCTCCATGTCATCTTTTTGAGAACTAAACCTGCTAATTCCTTATGGTCTCTGTAGCAATTGCCCAATGGCCCCCACCCAAGTTAAGCCTTTGGTATTTTTTAAAATGTTTGCTAAATTCTTGGAGATGCAGAACCATCAGGGAAAACCTGGGGGAATGAAATCGGCTAGTGATATTAAAATTTTGGTTGTTTAACATTTAACTGAGTCTCAACAACGTGTTAAAGTGCTATCTAAACAGATAATTAGCTAGTGGCTGTGCAGTGGGCTGTCTAAATTTAGCAGTGAAATTAGGTTTAGGGAATGTGAATATAGAAAAAGAAATTTTCTCAAGGGAAACGGTGGTGTCAGCACAGCTGAGGAATGTCACAATAGCTACATTTTGTCAATTATGATCATCATCAGGGGATCTCCCGGAGCGATGCAGGACAAGGTGTATTCATAAATGCATCTTGAGGATAGGTGATAGAAAACCTTGGCTGCAGGAGACAAGCTTACAGGGGAGGACAGAGGCAGACAGGCACAGGGAGGGAGGGAAGAGGAAAGGGCTGGAGGGAAAAAAGGCACTAGACCGAGCGCTGGGAGACTGGATGGGAGGCAGAAGTTAAGAAAGAAAAAAGAGGTGGGCAGGGTGTAGAATGGCTTGTAGCCTTGGAGGTGAGTAAGGCCTTGTAATCCAGCGGGCGGAAGGTGGGAAGACCCTATTGACTGAAAGCCGAGGACAGCGTGGTCTTGGCCGCAAGCATGCATTAGTTTAGCTGCGACAGGCTAATTTCTGGGCGGCTGATCCTTGTTCGGCTTTCCTGCTACTGGAACACATTTATGGCTATCTCGTGGAGATGACAGGACCTACATAAAATTAATAGTGTCAGGCCTGCGGACTGGTGTCCTCTGCCTACAATCCGCCGCCCTACGACGGACAGTCCAAATTGTCCACCCGCCTACTCCCCCCCGCGGAACCGATGTGGCAGTGGCTCCAAGGTCAAGCCGCCGGTACTGTGCGAGGCGGGAGGATGGAGAGGGCAGGGCGGGCAGCCACCTGGGATGAGCGAGGGTCATGGTGGACCACAGACGCTCTTCTTATAAGGGCAAATGTTTAATACTTCCCGAGGTCGCTTCTCTGCGATCAAAGGGAAACAGGCAAGAAAATAAAACTACACATACGAACATGCAAATGAAACAAAACCAAGGAAAAACACCAACGCACTCGTTGGGGGAAATCCATGGCCTCCTGTTGCCAGTCGCCCGGCGCGGAAAGTGGACAGCCCAGCGGCCAGTGAGAAGCAACAGCAAGAAAGCAAACCTTCTGAGACCCCTCTCCTCGCCCAGCTCAGCCGGCCGTTCTACCAAGCCGCCCTCCCACAGAAAAGAGCAGGAAAAACGCCTGTGCAAACGTGCCTTGGCGAGCGGGGGATAAGTGGGCTGGGAAGAACGGAGGGATTCGGAGAGCACAGCTGTCCCGGGGAACAGGAAGGAGGAGAAAGTCTCTCCCTTCAGTCCCCCGCGCCCCAGCGAGGAGGAAGATTACTAGTCCAGCAGGCTGCGTCCAGCTTCCTACACAGGAACCTTTAGCATGGGCAACGGAAGGGCAGCCCCATCCCGCCTTCCCCTCCCCACCCCTCCTCGTCCCAGGTCCCCGCCAGAGGGAGAGCGCCACCCGGGAGAGGCGAGGGCCGAGCGTGTTGTCCCGCAGCCCTCGCCTCAGTCAGCGCCGGGGCCTCGGTGGACCCGCTAGGGGTGGAGTGGGCGAGACCATTGGAAAGGCAGGGAAGGGGGGAAACCAGGCAGGAACGAGGGGCGGGGCCGACTAACCTATTCCAGATTTTCCTGTCCCTTTTAAAGCTCTGCTTTGGGAGAAACCCCGTTATCAAAGTGGATGAAAAGAGTTTTTTTTTTTTTTTTTGAAAGGGGAGGAGCATGTGTAGGAGGGCGGGGTGGGAGGAGACAGGGCTTGCGCCCGGGGATCAGACGGGAGCTGGAGTTGCGCGGGGAGGGCGGGCGAGTCGGGCGCCGGCTCTGAGGGTCGGCTTCTTTTCCCCCTCTCGCGTGGGGCGGGGTGGTGCGTTCCGAGTTCCCAGGAGTTCGAAGCGGGCGGGTG